AAATTTTTTTTTTTTTTTTTTTTTAAGATTCATTACATCTGTATTTATCCTTTAAAATAATTTAATTAAAATAATGCTTAATTAAATTGGAGACTATATTTGAAAATAGTTGCATTTTGTGTCTTTTTTAAGGATTAGAACCTTAAAATAATGTTAAAGATAAATACATTTATGAAAATAAATTACTTATAAAAGATATTATTTTATAGTTTAAATTATAAATTTAAAATTTATATCTATTTAATTTCTAAACTTTAAAAGGACCGCTTAATAAGATTTGTTTTGTTTTGTGTTTAATATATTTGGATAAATTTTATATTTTTAAAAATTAAATTATTCGAACCCTTAACTTTTTATTTTTTATTTTTTATTTAGTAGCTTGTGAATTAATTTTTATGAGCTAATTAAATAATGTTTTTTTTTTAAAAAAAAGATCCTAAAGAAAAAGAGAAAAAAAAAAACGAAGCGACAACAATATATGAAGCTGGTCAAAGTGTGCTGAGTGTGGAAATGGAAGCTGCTTACAGACAACCGAGCGAAGAAGCTATGGAGTCGAAGAGCACCGACTTCAACCATCTCACTGTTCTCCACAACGCTATGATTGTCACAATGGATCCCGACAGTCGAGTCTTCCGGAACGGCGGAATTGCGATCTCCGGCGACAAAATCAAAGCCATCGGCCACTCTTCCGAGATTCTCCTCCAATTCTCTGCTTCTGCCGACCACATTATTGACCTTCATTCTCAAATCTTGCTTCCTGGTCTCTCTCTGTTTCTCTTTGAATTTTCGAGTTGGTTCAACTCTTTGAATTTTCTTCCCACTTCGTTGTCTGAGATCTGGGTTGGCCTTGAAAACAGGGTTTATTAACACGCATGTCCACACTTCTCAGCAGCTCGCGAGAAGCATAGCCGACGATGTGGATTTGATGACTTGGTTGCACCATCGTATTTGGCCCTACGAATCCACCATGACTGAGGAAGATTCCTATGTTTCCTCTTTACTTTGTGGTATAGAACTCATTCACTCGGGTGTGAGTATCTTCATTTCTGCTTTTACTTCTTTGTTCTTCCTCATCATTTTTTGCTGTAATTGAGGAAATTAATGCTCATACACCTTTTAAGAACTTATGGATGAGAGGTGGACACCCGGGTGTGTGCCAGTGAGGACGCTGGGCCCCGAAGGAGAGTGAATTGGGGGTCCCATATCGATTGAGGAAGGGAACGAGTGCTGGCCCTGAAGGGGTGGATCGGGGGGTCTCACATCGATTGGAGAAGAGTACGAGTAGTGCCCTGGACCCTGAAGAGGGTGGATTGTGAGATCCCACATCGGTTGGGGAGGAGAACGAAACATTCTTTATAAGAGTGTGGAAACCTCTCCCTAGTAAACACGTTTTAAAAACCTTAAGGAGAAAGCCCAAACAGGACTTGGGCTGTTATAACTTGTAATTTAACTTGTATATATTCAGGTAACATGCTTCGCTGAGGCAGGGGGACAACATGTATCTGGAATGGCTAAGGCCGTAGAGTTGTTGGGTTTGCGGGCGTGCTTAACTCAGTCAATAATGGACTGTGGGGAAGGATTGCCAGCTCCTTGGGCTGCTGTAACCACTGATGATTGCATTCAGGTTTATCTTACTTAGCTTTATATATCTATGGTTCTCTATCTTTTACTCCTTTTCGACAATTGTAGAATTCATCCATATAATTAATGATGTATAGATGGTATTTAGAGAACTTTTGTGTAGATAATAGATTAAATGATTAGATTAAACTGCTACTATGAATGGTTGAAGATTGTTGCTCCACTTAGGCGATGAAATATACTTAAAACATTACGTCGAGGTTGTCTTGGAACTTGGAAGATCAAAGAAAGGCAAAATTTCTAAGAAGTTTTTGATGTTCATGGTCATAAGTTTATGCTTTCCTGTTTTTTGGTTTCATGGAAGTGATTTACTTTCTTTAATTTCCCAATCCTTATGAATAACTACGTTAATTTTCATTTTCAAGGTCAGTCTCAAAAGGAGCTTTACAAGAAGCACCACAACACAGCAGATGGGCGCATCAGAGTATGGTTTGGTATCAGACAAATTATGAATGCAACAGATCGTCTATTGATCGAAACACGGGACAATGCGATAAAACTAGAAACTGGGATCCACATGGTACTTCTATCTTTGTTACTTAACGCTTTTGCAGTCTCGAAATAGTTCAAATTATATCAATGGCTCCAAAGCTTGAGTTGTGGAAATTTGATTTCATTTGTCATGTGCATTTTAGCATGTTGCAGAGATACCCTATGAGAACCTCAAAGTGATGAACGAACGAAATGTTGATCATGGAACCGTTACTTACCTGGATAAAATACAGTTCCTCGGAAACAATTTACTTTCTGCACATACTGTTTGGGTCAATGACAATGAGGTGAGAAGTTGTAGGTTGGTAATTTTTTTCTCCTTTTCTTTTTAACCCCTCAAAAGGAATCCAAATCCTAGCTACGTAGGAACATACTCCGACCCAAACGTTCGTTGTTGCATGCTTTTGATCAGATAGTTGACCAAACTGACCAAGTGCATGTCAACAGGGTTGGAGGTGGCTACATCTACGAAACGAGTACGGTTGAATATTTAAGTTAGTGCAAGTTTTGGGTTTGGCGTAGTTTCAATATGGTAGAGAGCACGTTTTGATTACTGCTAATCGTAGGTTGCATTCCAAGTCGGGTCAAACATGCACACCAAACAGCTTTTGATAGGTGCAACTTGATGGTGTTTAGCCTGCCAAGGTGGTCATCAAGCATAACCTTAGTTGTGGCCTGCTAGGATATCATAGGAAACTTTGCAGGCCTTTGAATGAATGTTATGCCTCTATGTAACGTCCCAAGCCCACCGCTAGCAGATATTGTCGTCGTTGGGCTTTTCCTTCCGGGCTTCCCCTCAAGGTTTTTTAAAATGCGTCTGCTAGGAAAAGGTTTTCACACAAATAAGGGGTGTTTCGTTCTCCTTCCCAACCAATGTGGGATTCTCACAAGCTATAACCGGGAAGGATATTATAAGATGCACTTGTCACGTCCAATATGGCTAATGCCACAAAGATGTGACCTTGAGTCTACATGGCGTGTAGACCTCTTGGACTAGTTTTAGGTCTCACTTCAGTCATGGTTACCAGTTCGGATAACCTGGCTGGGCAGCTTCTTGGTCTCCTTGGCTATGTCACTGCCTAGTCTCACTTTGGCGCTAGGTGGCTTTTGGTGTCACTCGGTTGGCTAAGATCCACCGAGCTCGGTGGCTTCCTAATCTCATCTAGGTCATGAGCTAAGTTAATATCTTCCTAATTAATGTTCTTGCGCTCTATTCCATTCACGAATGTGTTGTTGAATTCTTAAAAACTTATACGACCATGTTTTTCATAACTACGTTTTATAATGCAAGTATTATTGATATCTTGTTAGATTAGTTTTCTTTCAAGGAATGGGGTCAAAGTATCCCACTGTCCTGCTTCTGCAATGAGAATGCTTGGATTTGCACCTATCAGAGAGATGCTTGATGCTGGTATTTGTGTTTCCATTGGAACAGATGGAGCTCCGTCAAATAATAGAATGAGCATAGGTTTGTTTCTGTCTAGAAACTCTAACAAGTTATACATTATTTCATCTTTTCACCATACGTCTAGTGGGCAGTCAGTCACGGCCCAAGCCCACCGCTAGTAGATATTGTCTTCTTTGGGCTTTCCCTTTCGGGCTTCCCCTCAAGGTTTTTAAAACGCGTTTGCTAGGGAGAGGTTTTCAAACCCTTATAAAGAATGTTTCGTTTTCCTCCCTAACCGATGTGGGATCTCACGATCCACCCCCCTTTGAGGCCCAACGTCCTTGTTGGCGCACCGCCTCGTGTCGACCCCCTTCGGAGCTTAGCCTCCTCTCTGGCATTATCGCTCGGTGTCTGACTCTAATATCATTTGTAACATATTGTGAGATCTTATATCGATTGGGGAGGAGAACGAAGCATTCTTTATAAGGGTGTGGAAACCTCTCCCTAGCATACGTGTTTTAAAAACCTTGAGAGAAAGCTCAAAGAGGAAAATATCGGCTAGAAGTAGGCTTAGACCGTTACAGTCACATTGTGGTGGCCACCTAGAATCGTTTTTCATCAAATCATATCACTTTAAGAACTGACACATTCTCTTGAAAACACCTCACCTTTAAGGATTATCTTGGCACACCCTCACATGCAGATCCAACTAAACCTTTTATATTGGATATCATATGGACTTCAATGAGTATATATTATGGGTCTATTGCCATTAATGTTTTACCCAAGTGGTGATTGTAGCATAACAATGTAAAGATGTAGACAATTTTGATCAGAACACAGTAACCTCAAGTTTATACGTTCATCGTCGTGAAGAAAGTTTTCACATGGCACGAGAACAATGGTAGTTGATGAACTAAATGTCTATATATTTTGCAGTTGATGAAATGTACCTTGCATCACTCATTAATAAAGGCCGGGAAGTGTTTGTAAATGGAACAACCAATCCCTCTGTTCTTCCTGCTGAAGTAGTTCTACAAATGGTGACAATAAATGGTGCAAAATCAGTGCTTTGGGAGAATGAAATAGGATCACTTGAAGTTGGGAAGAAGGTAATATTTCTTTGACCTTGTAGCCTCCCGGCTCGACTCCTTTCTCTGGAGTCCTCAAACAAAGTACACTCTTTGTTCGACACTTGAGTCATTTTTTTAACTACATCTTCAAGACTCACGACTTCTTTATTCGAGGATTCTATAACATAGTCAAGTTAAGGGCATGACTATGATACCATGTTAGGAATCACGGCCCTCTACAACAGTATAATATTTGTCCACTTCAAGCATAAGCTCTCGTGGTTTTGCTTTTGGTTTTTCAAAAGGTCTCGTATCAATGGAGATGTATTCCTTACTTATTAGCCAATGTAGGACTCCCTCCCAACCATCCTCAACAGTGGCACGAACTGTTCTACTAGACCTATAAACTCATTTGTACAAAGAAAAAAGCAATGGTTGAGCAAGTAACGCCACCTGTTACTTTCATACGCTCGAGGATGATTTGTTTTACTATATTGATTGTAGGCGGATATGGTTGTGATCAATCCTTCCTCTTGGTCCATGGTTCCTGCCCATGACAGGTATTCATTTCCTTGAACTTTTATGACATGTTTTGTCACTCTCACTTGAGCTGAGAATTGTAAATGAACTGATGGCATTGCCTAATTGATATTGCAGTATTTCATGCCTTGTCTACAGTATGAGGACTGAAAATGTTGTCTCTGTAATGTGCAATGGCCGGTGGATAATGAAAGATAAGAAGATCGTTAATGTAAACGAGGTACTTCATCTTGATTTTTCGTTCTTAAACATGATAAACGTTGCTTTATTTCGGGTATACGTAGCTTTAACTGATTTAACATGTGCAACCCGAAATTTGGGTGGACAGGAAGATGTAATATTGATGGCAAAAAAAGCTTGTAAGGAACTGGTTGAGAGAGCAGGAATAAGAATTCCGAACAGAATGAACTTCATCTAATCGCCAGCAGGTTATGTTCAGTTTCTTGGTTTTGATTTTCATCAAACTGTTTAAGCTTTGCGTATGGAACTGATGCTTTGTTGTGTTTAAGTGTTTGAATGAATTGATATCTTTGAGTTATGTATTAGCCACTTTATCATTAAGTTTCTCTGTACAAACTCATCCATTTAAGGAGGTTTGAGTACCATATTTGAAATGAATAATTACGACGTATGTTTGTTCCGGGAGGTCCCATATACATCGAGAATAGGAAGGAAGTATATTGTCTTTTTTGGGCATTTCTTCTTGGGCTTAGGTCCCATATATATCGAGAATAGGAAGAAAGCGTGTAACACCCCAAACCCACTGTTAGTAGATATCGTCCTCTTTGAGTTTTCGATTCTGGGCTTTCTTTCAAGGTTTTAAAACACGTCCCCTAAGGAGAGGTTTTCACACCCGTATAAGGAATGCTTCGTTCCCCTCTTTGGTTTTCCCTTCTGGGTTTTCTTTCAAGATTTTAAAACACGTCTGTTAGGGAGGGGTTTCACACCCGTATAAGAAACGTTTCGTTCCCCTCTCTAATCGATATGAGGTCTCACAAAGCGTGGGAAGTTCTCTCCATTGTCTAAACTAAGATTAGGGTTTTCACACTCGCATAAAGAATGTTTCGTTTCCCTCTTTGGTTTTTCCTTTTCGGCTTTATTTTAAGGTTTTAAAACACTTATGTTAGGGAGGGGTTTTCACACCCTTATAAGTAAGGTTTCGTTTCCCTCTCCAACCGATATGGGATGTCGGAAAGCGAGGGTAGTCTTCTCTCCATTGTCTAAACGAAAATTATATTTTCATCGTTGCGCTCACTTAAATTATTTATTTATTATTTTTAATATAATATTAATAAATATTGAGGAGTATATTGGCAATATTAAAATTTAAATTATTATAATGTAATAATATTAAAAATTTGAAAAATTATATTTGTTTATTATAATTACATTATAATGAAATAAAAGGAAGAAAATTGTTTTTAACCGTACATGGAAAAAGGAAATCCCACGTGCGGTGAACAGATGCAGAATGCTGACGTGGTGAGATTGTGGACGATACCGATACGAAAGCAGCCACGTCATCTTAAGGTTCCGCTGAAGAAGATTCCAGAAGTGAGTCCCTCGGGCATATTTTGAATCTTCCCGAAACTTCTCAATTTTTCGAACCTTTCTGCAAATCCATTTCCCCCCATATATGTAGCAGTCGGCCATGTCCCCTGTTCTTCATCGGAGACATTTTATCTGCATTTGCGCAAGAGAAGGTCATCTATTCACTCGAGAAAGTTCTGTTTGTGCTTTTCCTGATCTGTTTTCTTCTAGAATTTTTTTGAATCCTCAATTGTAATGGAGAGTCCCTTCTTCAGGAATCACTGGAACTACCACCCTCAACGCCCTCGGTATGTTCCTAGCATGATGGAAATTCCGGTGCATCGGCGAACTGTGCCGGTGGTTCCGAAGGTGGTTTCGATTCCTGTCCGTTTTGTTGAGTCGAAGAAGAGCAGATCTGACTCGGCCACCAAAATCCAAAAGGTTTTCAGAGGTTTTCTGGTGAGGAAGAGCGTGAAGAAGGTTGTGGCGATTGAGAGAGAAGTAAATGAGATACAGAGGAGGCTTGCGAATGAAGAGACTGTGGATTTGATTCGGAAGGATGGTAAGGAGAGAATTAAGTTTGGTGAGATGCTGATGAGTTTGCTGTTTAGGTTGGATTCGGTGAAAGGCGTGGATTTCGGAATTAGGAATTTCAGGAAGGCAGTGATCAAGAAGGCTATTGCCTTGCAGGAGAAGGTCGATTCAATTGCTGCTGTGGATGAAGCTACTGATGTCGTCCATGAGACTCTTGAAGCTGCGACTGCCAAATGTGATTCTGAAGCTGTTGATCGGAGCTCAGGAATGGATATTTCTGGTGCAAGGGAAATCGTTGCGAAAGAAACTCAGGATCTCAAGGATAGAATTCCAGAGCTTGAAGATGAGAGTTGTACTGCAAAAATGGCAAACAGCGAACCAGTTGACGGTTGTGATGATGATAGAACAGAAATTGAATCTGTTGAACCTGCCGATGATTGCAATGAGCGTGGAAACGTAGATGAGGTAGCATTAACGCCTCGTTACACTGCAAAGGAGGGAGCAATTATCGAGGAATCTACGGCTTGTTCTATGGAATCGAATGCTGATCTGGAAGCTCCTGATGCAGATGATGATATACCGAAACCTCAAGTTTCAGAGCAAGACAAGAACTCGCCAGGAGAAGATGAGGTGCCTGCAGAAGTTGACAACGACATTATGCATAGAGAGGTTGAGGCGGCAGAAGAGTACGCCGAAATGAGTGACGCTGAAAGTCAGACGGATTCGTCTAATAACCCACCAAATTTAGACAATGGGGTTGAAGAATATGGAGCTGTAGATCAAAGGGAGGGCAGTGGAAATGAAGAGGATCCAATAGACGAAGAAGAAGAAGAAGAAGATAGCAGAGTGAAGGGAGGAGAAGAACATGGGGAGAGTAGAGAGCTTCTTGAGAAGATGATGGTGCACAACAAGAGAATGATGGAGATGATGGCGCAGCTGTTTGAGAAGAACGAAATGCAGTCACGATTGTTAAGCTCACTGTCCCATAGGGTTGAGCAGTTAGAGAAGGCACTTGTTCTTGAGATGCTAAGAAAGAAGAAGAGGAGGAACAGCACAGATTGCTCCCAAAAATGCCCCAAAACAAAGAAAAGTGGTAAATGATGACAGTATTATGATCAGTTTACTGTTGCTAAAAATTTGTAAATGCAATTCCTTTAGTTTATTTCATTGCATGATAACCTGTTGCTGTTTCTGAGCTTCTGGCAACTTCTGCAATATATGTTGTTCCGATTTTACTGGTTCTGCGCTTTGAGAGTTGTAGCAGAGTAGACTTTTAACACACCATTAAAGCAGTTCCGTTAATTATAAGCTTGCTTGGACTTCAAATGTATCTGTTTCTTTAATTCACAGACTAGATGACAGCTCAAAATGGCTTCTACAATGGTTCTGTAAATGTCGGTTGTCATGAAGTTTTGCAGTGAGAACGGAAATTATGATCTGGGTTGCCATGAAGTTTTACAAAGCTTAATTTTCATATATCTACAAGAACGATGAGCAGTGTTTTATATGAACTGATACCATAATTCTTTTGATTCCCATAGTTGGATTTCGGGCTTGCTTAATCTTAAATTTGTTCATGTAAGTGCAGGTAAGCGTTGAAGGGTTGTTTCGTAAACGTTTGGGGTATAATTGATACCAACTAACGTTTCTTCGAGTCATGCTTATTCATGATGTATTGTTTATAATGATTTTACTTATCCACATTTCTCTAAAATATTTTCTCGCAAAACGTAGCTAGAAGTAGAATTGTTCATGAAGTTCGATTTTGATACAACTAGTTTATTTATTGGATTAGATCAAACATCGTATAATCCCTAATTTACGGTAAAAATAAAAAATAAAAAGTTTGAAATTAAGAATTAAAAATGAAAATTTTGAAATAAACAAGCCTTCAAACTGGCATAATTGAAACCTTTTTATTTATTAAAACAATCTAAAATTAAAAATAAAAAATAAAATTTTAGAAAGATTAATGGCATGACTTGATTGTTATGAGATTAAACCGATATTTTGATGAAATTAGGCGACGAAAAAATGCCGACGTGGAGAAAACGATGTCACGTGCGGTGAACGGATGGGGATGCTGACGAATCCATTGGCCGGTTCCCAGTACGAAAGCAGCCACGTCATCTTAAGATTCCATTCATGCCAAATCACCATTCGCAGAAGAAGATTCCAGAAGGTGAGTCCCACGCGCCACGGCCATTTTTTGAATCCTCCCGAGTCTTCCCGATATTTCGAATTTTCTTCTCGAACCTATCTGCAAATCCATTCCCCCCCCCCCCCCCCCCCCCCCCCCCCCCCCC